AAGCTGAATAAATAATCTTTCCATTGATGTATGGTTTGTTAGGATCGGACAATATTTGAAAATCTGGAATCTGAGGGTGCAAAAAAATCTAAATATTGAGAAAATCATCTTTAAAGTTGTTCAAATGAAGTTCTTAGCAATGCATATTACTAATCAAACATTAAGTTTTGATATATTTACGGTAGGACATTTACAAAATATCTTCATGGAACATGATCTTTACTTAATATCCTCATGATTTTTGGCATAAAAGAGAAATGTATAATTGTGACCCATACAATGTATTGTTGGCTATTGCTACAAATATCCCCCAGCGACTTAAGACTGCTTTTGTGCTGCAGGGACACACACACATATATATATATATAATTATGATGAAGATTATTGTTATTTCTACTAGTAATAAAAATAATATTATTGATTTTAAAATAGTTATTATTAAAATTATTATTGTTATATTTTGAGCCAACGGAAATTGTAATATAATAATTTTAATAACAATAATGCATTTCTTTTAATTATAAAAACAATAACTTTTATACTTATTTATGCTTGTTTGTAATAATGACAATAATGTTATATCTAAAAATATTAATATTATAATTATAATAATAATAAAATTAATGTTACTCATTTTAATGATTATTATTATACATTTTGTTCTAACTGAATATAATATAATAATTTTAAAAACAATAAATCACATTTTTAAAAATTATTTGTAATAATAATGACAATAATGTTATATCTAAAAATCCTTTTATTATTATTACTACTAATGGTAATAAAAACAACAAAATAATAGTAATAAAATTAACATTATTATTTTTTAAATGATATTAAATTATTATTCATATAATTTGCGTGCCAACAAAAATTGTCATTATAATATCTTAACAACCATTTATTTTTTAAAGTATAATGAAGATTCTCTATTTTGCTTGCTTGAAATAATGATAATAATAATACTGTTATATTTAAATGACATTATTTAATAATAATATTTTATTAATATTATGCATTTTAAAATTGTTTAAAATCATCATTATACTTTTACATTTTAATAACAATAATTTAATTTATTCAAAATATAATAACATTATATTTTTACATTTAAACAATAGTTTAATAAAAAAACAACTTTTTATTATTATTGAAATTAATTTTAAACAATTATTGTAATTATTATAATTATGAACATGATCATTTAGGTTGCCGCACATTTATGCAATTACAAGTCAGATTCAAAGAGGTATAAAGCACCTTTAATGAATTCAGAGGCCCAGCAAAAGCCTTGACCGTCATTGTTGGGTTTTTGGGACTTTCCATCATCCTGTCAGGCCTGTTTAACTGATCGCAGGACTCCGGTGAAGCGAGACACCAGGGGGCGCAGATCACCGGATGCAGCGTGTTGTCTGCGGCCCGCAGCAATGGCACATAAAATCTGTCTGTGACAAAAACACCAACAACACAGCAGTCAAACACATCCTACATCAGCGAACTGACAGCACTCGAGCACAGTGTTGGGGGTAACGCATTACAAGCAACGCGAGTTACATCATCAGATTACTTTTAAAAGTAACTAGTAATGTAACGCATTACAAGTAACGCGAGTTACGTCATCAGATTACTTTTAAAAGTAACTAGTAATGTAACGCATTACAAGTAACGCGAGTTACGTCATCAGATTACTTTTAAAAGTAACTAGTAATGTAACGCATTACAAGTAACGCGAGTTACGTCATCAGATTACTTTTAAAAGTAACTAGTAATGTAACGCATTACAAGTAACGCGAGTTACGTCATCAGATTACTTTTAAAAGTAACTAGTAATGTAACGCATTACAAGTAACGCGAGTTACGTCATCAGATTACTTTTAAAAGTAACTAGTAATGTAACGCATTACAAGTAACGCGAGTTACGTCATCAGATTACTTTTAAAAGTAACTAGTAATGTAACGCATTACAAGTAACGCGAGTTACGTCATCAGATTACTTTTAAAAGTAACTAGTAATGTAACGCATTACAAGTAACGCGAGTTACGTCATCAGATTACTTTTAAAAGTAACTAGTAATGTAACGCATTACAAGTAACGCGAGTTACGTCATCAGATTACTTTTAAAAGTAACTAGTAATGTAACGCATTACAAGTAACGCGAGTTACGTCATCAGATTACTTTTAAAAGTAACTAGTAATGTAACGCATTACAAGTAACGCGAGTTACGTCATCAGATTACTTTTAAAAGTAACTAGTAATGTAACGCATTACAAGTAACGCGAGTTACGTCATCAGATTACTTTTAAAAGTAACTAGTAATGTAACGCATTACAAGTAACGCGAGTTACGTCATCAGATTACTTTTAAAAGTAACTAGTAATGTAACGCATTACAAGTAACGCGAGTTACGTCATCAGATTACTTTTAAAAGTAACTAGTAATGTAACGCATTACAAGTAACGCGAGTTACGTCATCAGATTACTTTTAAAAGTAACTAGTAATGTAACGCATTACAAGTAACGCGAGTTACGTCATCAGATTACTTTTAAAAGTAACTAGTAATGTAACGCATTACAAGTAACGCGAGTTACGTCATCAGATTACTTTTAAAAGTAACTAGTAATGTAACGCATTACAAGTAACGCGAGTTACGTCATCAGATTACTTTTAAAAGTAACTAGTAATGTAACGCATTACAAGTAACGCGAGTTACGTCATCAGATTACTTTTAAAAGTAACTAGTAATGTAACGCATTACAAGTAACGCGAGTTACGTCATCAGATTACTTTTAAAAGTAACTAGTAATGTAACGCATTACAAGTAACGCGAGTTACGTCATCAGATTACTTTTAAAAGTAACTAGTAATGTAACGCATTACAAGTAACGCGAGTTACGTCATCAGATTACTTTTAAAAGTAACTAGTAATGTAACGCATTACAAGTAACGCGAGTTACGTCATCAGATTACTTTTAAAAGTAACTAGTAATGTAACGCATTACAAGTAACGCGAGTTACGTCATCAGATTACTTTTAAAAGTAACTAGTAATGTAACGCATTACAAGTAACGCGAGTTACGTCATCAGATTACTTTTAAAAGTAACTAGTAATGTAACGCATTACAAGTAACGCGAGTTACGTCATCAGATTACTTTTAAAAGTAACTAGTAATGTAACGCATTACAAGTAACGCGAGTTACGTCATCAGATTACTTTTAAAAGTAACTAGTAATGTAACGCATTACAAGTAACGCGAGTTACGTCATCAGATTACTTTTAAAAGTAACTAGTAATGTAACGCATTACAAGTAACGCGAGTTACGTCATCAGATTACTTTTAAAAGTAACTAGTAATGTAACGCATTACAAGTAACGCGAGTTACGTCATCAGATTACTTTTAAAAGTAACTAGTAATGTAACGCATTACAAGTAACGCGAGTTACGTCATCAGATTACTTTTAAAAGTAACTAGTAATGTAACGCATTACAAGTAACGCGAGTTACGTCATCAGATTACTTTTAAAAGTAACTAGTAATGTAACGCATTACAAGTAACGCGAGTTACGTCATCAGATTACTTTTAAAAGTAACTAGTAATGTAACGCATTACAAGTAACGCGAGTTACGTCATCAGATTACTTTTAAAAGTAACTAGTAATGTAACGCATTACAAGTAACGCGAGTTACGTCATCAGATTACTTTTAAAAGTAACTAGTAATGTAACGCATTACAAGTAACGCGAGTTACGTCATCAGATTACTTTTAAAAGTAACTAGTAATGTAACGCATTACAAGTAACGCGAGTTACGTCATCAGATTACTTTTAAAAGTAACTAGTAATGTAACGCATTACAAGTAACGCGAGTTACGTCATCAGATTACTTTTAAAAGTAACTAGTAATGTAACGCATTACAAGTAACGCGAGTTACGTCATCAGATTACTTTTTTAAAGTAACTAGTAAAGTAATGCATTACTTTTTTAATTTAGAAGGAAATATCGGAGTTATTTTTTAAATAAGTAATGCCAGTTACTTTGTTTCCATGTGTTGAGTGACAGCTCTGGTGTTGCCACGGTGACAGAAATCAGGAGTAAGAGCAGAGTGTTGTGTGTGAACATGATCTTACTGTAGCTCTAGACTCAATATCAACATGTGTTTACTCATCTCACTGCACACAAACACATTCAGTGCTCCTCACAATCAATAAATACTGTCAAATACAAACTCAGAATATTATACAAACCTGCAATAATTGTTAAATAAGACAAATATCACTTATGTATTTAATCCCATTTTATTAACCAGTGTCTTTGACCTTCGATGATCCAATTCAATCATACTAATAATCAGAAATGACACATTTGTGTTTGATTTGTGTTATTGCTGAATAGTGTTGAACTTTCTTCTCCTGCGTCATATTCTTCATGTAAGTTATGGATCGCGCCGTATTCCACTTGCCGTGTGAGGGGACTAAGAAAGTGACGTCGCGAGGTCATCTCGATGAACGTTATCTTTCTGGCCATAACCCTCCAGCTCAGGTGAGCCTTCCTTTCATTCCTGATCTCCATACAGAGATCGAGAAGGAACGGAAGAGGCTGTTTTTTTACGGCTATGAGAGGATGCCCCCGGTAGAAGAGACGCTAGCCAGCTATCTCTCTATGGGTGAGACATCTTCTCTCAAAACTCCCTCCTTGCCATCCAAGCCCCTTCAGATTACATCTCGCTTGAATGGCAGGGCATACGCAGCAGCAGGTCGGGCTGTGTCACGGCTCGCACTCCTCCCCCGTCTGCGGGTAGGGGTAGGAAGAATCGCGGGTCAAAGGGAGG